CTTTTTGTGGTTCTGTGAGCTAGTTATTGCTTGTTTGGGGTTTGTGGACTTTTGAGAAATTTTAGGGAAGTCTGAAGCATGGGCCCAGGCTGGCTGCTTGTATGGATTAGCCTCTGTTACTGTGATCTACTAGTTCAATTCATCTAGCAAATAAGTCATTGCTAGTCTTATTTTTTATACAGTGTTTTTTCCTACATATATTTACTTTTTGAAGTAATATATTTTTCTGATAACAAATATCATGTAGTTATACAAAATTTAAATATCGAAAACTACTTAACACAGAAAAAAACCCAATAATCTCTCCAACCTCCCCAACCAGAGTACTGCTATAGTTTGGAACACTTTTCTTCAGGCCCCCCACCATCATCATATTGTTTTGTTTTGTTTTTACAAAACTGGGATCATTGTTAAAGTATTATTTTCAATTTTTTTTTTATAAAACTTTCATACAGAGTGAGCATGTGTCAAAGTTTAATTTTAATCTATGAAGGAGGAAACAAGCAGGGTGGCAAAATTAACTCAAGAGGCTATGAAAACTGGTATTTTATAGTCAGTTAAAAAAAAAAAAAACAAAGAAATGCTAAGATAATATTGCTAAGTTAAAGTCATAGTTGATTAAAATCATATAGGGCAATAAGAACCAAAGTCACGGTGTCTTCTTTAAGTGGAAAAAAAATTCATTGCATCTTAGCAGTTTTACAGAATTGTAAAACTGGACCCTAATCAATTGTGCTAAATTACAATTCTCTAGACCTAGAGAGTCAGATGACACTCAGACATGCCTGTTAGAAAATGCTCTTAAGACATTAAAGCATTAAGTAATCATCTTTCCCCTCTGTATTAGTTTCCTAGTGCTGCTATAATAAATTATCACAAACTAGGTGGTTAAAAAACATATTTCTTATAGTTTTGGAGATCAGAAATCCAAAACTAGTTTCACTGAGCCAAAATCATGGTGTTCACAGGCCTTGCTTTTTCTGGAGGCTCTACGGGAGAATATATTTCCTTGCTTTTTATAGCTTCTAGAGCTGTATTTCTGTTTGTGGTCCCTTCCTCCATGTTTAAAGCCAACAGTGTAACATCCCAAGTCATCTCTGCCTCCATTCTTACATCACCTTCTCTCTTGTAGGACGTTAATGATTATATCTAGCATACCTGGATAATCCAGTGTAACTCCCCATTTCAAGGTCAACTGGTTAGCAACCTCAATTCCCCCTCCCCGCTTAATTTTCCCTTGCCATGTAACATAATATACTCAGATTTTGAGATTAGGATGTGGGAGACCTTTTGGAGGGGGACATTATTCTTCCTATTACACCCTTTCCCCCCCCAAATTTTGAGTAATTCTTTACAACCTCATCCTATGCTTTTTTTTTTTCTCTAACCTGATTTTTCTACCTGTCTTTTCACTCCACACATGCTGTACACATCTACCCCATTTTTCTTAATGGCTTAATAGTATTCCAATTATGGAATTGCCAGAATTTAATCAATTCCATATAGATGATAATTTAAGTGTTAGCAAGTTCTCAATTACAAAATGCTGCAATAAACATTCTATACATACTTCTTTGCACAACTGTAGCTATGCTTCCAGAGGAAAATTCCCTAGAGGTTAAAAATCTGAGACAATTAATTTTGATGAAGACTGACAAATTGCCTTCCAAAATTTTGTGCTAATATTTTTCTCTCATACCAGTAATACATGAGTGCCTGTTTATCTCCAACGTCACTTATACTAGCTATTTGGGATTTACTTTTGATTCTTTCAGCATCTATAAATCACTTTGAGATATTCACATAGGTTTTCCTGGCACAAAATAAGAATCTAATAATTGATCAATAAATTGAAGGTTAGAACAATGTAAATCCACATATACAACTCGGAGGACTTCTCCTAACAATGATACAGTAGTAACAGAGTTAATGTATGTAAGTGTGCCTTAAATATTACGCAGTACTATTCAGATATTTCCATACACAGAGGTGTGTTCTTTTCACATATAGTTCTCATATCTCACATAATTTGGCCTTGCTACCTCCCAGTGTCACATGCTATGTTTTGTTGTCAAGGCTCATAACTTCCACTAAGAACCCCAGAGGCTCTAATGTCTAAAGTGTGTGATTGATGGCACCAGTCCTTCAGGAGGAAAGGCATAAAATTATGGGTATATGTGTCCCCTGAAGATAGCAAGAAAGCCCAATAGCAAACACTTCAGGGAATGAGGATTCCCAGCTCTGGGTAGGTAAATATTTTGGAGGATCCAGAGTCAACTGATTTTATACTAAAGGACTTCTCAGAGACAGAGCTCCATGGGTTTAGATGAGATATCCTAGTGAGTACCCTACTCTACAGCTGCCCACCCACCCCCACACTGGGAAATAGCAAAATCTACTCTGTAATGCTAAAGACCATGACCTTGTGAGGTACACGCTTGAGGTGGTTAACTGAAAGAGCACTGAAAGTTGACCTAGGTTCTCAGGACTGTGACAGCTTGGAGAAGGGGTAATATTCTTCGCCATCCACATTCTATGAACTGTTCTAAGAACTAGGAATAAGCTTCTCAGTGAGAATGAGGGCAGTGTTGGCAAAAGTATAAGAGAATACGCTTCAGCATTGCCCTGCTCTGATTGGTTGTTCCTGGGGAAAGAATTCATACAAACCTGAGTGGAACTTTCTCCTTTCAGTTTTATTCCCATGACCAGAGTCTGGAAGATGTATGTTTAAGTACAGGAGGCAAAATCCTGAAACTAAAACGGGAATGGTTCCCTCTAGCATTCACCCACACCCCACCCCAACTCCCACTCCCAGGAATAACCTACAAGTACATGTGAACACACACTGGGCTTTTCACCCCAGGCCTTTTAGGATTTAACTCTTCTCTCTCTAGAGTAAGTTGAGTGGTATCCCTTTATTAAGTATTTGTGATATGAACCCCAATAGTTCTCATATCTCATTTGTGATATGTATCTCTTTAAGTATTTGATATGAACCAAGCAATAGCTCAGAAAATATTTCTGAAATCACTAACATATTAAAATGATTTCACAAAGGACCTAAGAGGACTTAGAGGCTTGTATCATGATTAAGAATGTAAGCTCTGGAACCTGAGCACCTAAGACTAAATCCTGGCTCTCACACTAGCTGTGACCTTGGGCAGGTCACTTTACTTTTCTATGCCTTAGAATCTTTATCTGCAAAATAGGGGATAAGGGTTGTTTTGAAAATTGAATGAAATAATGCGTATAAAATACCATGCCAGACATATAGTAAGTGCTTATTAACACTAGCTATTATTTAATTCTCCTACAGTGCCTCATGGTTATTTTCTCATAGTCTTTAAAGCATTTGTGGAGAAAACAAAATTGACAATTAGTTTATTTAATACATTTTCTATCATGTTCATTTGCCCATACTTAGCCTACTGAATTTCCAATAATATGAGAAAAACTGTTGTTATGGTGGCCTGTCTCCTTTCCTTCAACTTCATGGTTCTGCCTTCCTCTTCTGAGACCAATTTGCTGGCCCCATCTCTGCCTCTTCTCCCACTCAGTCAGACTCCCTTCTTCACAAGTACCTTGTATTGCTTTAAGATTTCAAAGGGTAAAAAGAATAGTCAATTAAAAGTGTTGGCATACGGAAGGAGGCACTTCCCCTACCTAGCCACCATAGTCCACAATTCCTTTTAATTCTACGTATCTAGAAGATTGCTGTGGAACAGAAAGGCCACAGCCTATAGGAAGTTCTGAAGGTTCATTTGCATAATGTATCACTAGAGTCTCTTCTCCTTGGGTAAGGGCAGCAGGTTTTTCAGGTCAGAAGCTGCTCCACACCCCTTGCTCTAAACTTCCTGCATTCCCGGGATATTGAGTCACTAAGGCTGGAGAGGATACGTGGGGAAAATATGCCTGGTCCAGTACCAAGACATGTTTTTCTGCTCTGTGTATCTCCATTTTAGCTCTAATTAGCCTGCCTTGCTTACTGTGTGTCTCTTTCTATGTTTCCATAGCATCCGCCCCTTAAGTAGCTGATTCACGTGGCTTTTATAGAGCAAATTATAGTTCCACACTGCTTTTGCTTTTAATGGAGAGAAATTCTTGCTTGAATTCCAAAGAGGCAGTGTCTTCTTCTAGATGTCTGACAGATTCTTTCTTTCAAATTCACCTTGAATAATATAGTCAAAAGATAGCAGTGTGAGCTTTTTATAAAAACCTAAGTCTCTTCTTCATCATGAAAGATGTAACGAGGGAGTTGGGTTGAAAAAAGAAATCTCCAATGCTCCAAAGCAAGTCACTCCAGTCTCCCTCAAATTATGTGGCATCCAATCCTTTAGGCCCAAATATAGTGGTTGAAGATTAGAAAACCATATTAGATATGCCAGGTAATAAGACAATTCTGGCTAAAAGCCTTGCTACTTAGAAAGAGGAGTTCCTGCAATATGTCCTGATACTGGAGAAGAGGACTGGAAATGGCTAAAGATAAATCCTCAGCACAATTCCAAGAGCAAAATTGGATGGGGATGAGAAGCCTTGGGTCACTGTTCACAATTCCTCACAGAAATTATGGTACTGTTACACAATACCAATGAGTTCTTCTCACCAACCTGGTCTGTGAGGGGCGAACACTAGTTAGGTAAATGCTGTGATTCTCAGTCCCAATAGGCAGTGGCCATAGTAACCTTAATTCCTTAGTTACCTTAGCTGACATTCTCAATGAAATACTCAACTGAGATGTAAACATTGAGATACATGAGAAAGGGAGACCTACATTCATCCATTGTGGGTGTGGGAATGATAAACATATGGTCCTAATTCGAAAATAAAATTCTGCGTCAGAAACCAGTACTGATGATTTAATGTGATCTGGTTTCCCTCCTCTGCCTTCACTCTACCTTAAAATGTTAGCCACCATCCTAACCCTAAGCATGAAGGTGATGCCCCAGCTACTATTGCCTTCTCTCTCCCTTAAAAAAACATAATTTTTCAGATCAGTAGAAGACATAATGAAATCTTCATTTCTTCCACATATTAGAAACATTTTTTAATTACAGTTCGGCTTCTCTGAGGCCCATATCAAGTAGCAAAACTCCAAAAACACAGAAAAACTGGGTTGGAGAGAATCCCATATAATGAGGCACAAAGTGAGAGGTTTTACTCAACCACTCCACTGGACAAAATGGAGGCCCATGCAGGTCCCTGAGAAAAGCTCATTGTGGCATATGCCCTGAAGGAATCTTACTCTGCACTCCCTTCTCAGAGTGTGCCTAGTAAGGGCCACTGAAAAGACAGGTTTTTGATGAATAATCACTAGTAAAATCCTAATGGGGAGGTAACTCATCTGGGGAGAAGCTCTTTTATTAGTGGAGGTTTTCTTCTTTTTGGAATTAAAAGACCCCAGCCACGCTTACAGTTATAGGTTCCACATTAGTTAGACTATATTCTGGGGAGTATCCATAGCTAGTAAGTCGTCACATTCTCTGATCAATTAGGATACTTTCTGGTGAGATTCTGGCTTCAGCTCAGCATGAGAAAAGCTCAGTAATGCCTCAAGCAAATGAGCAGAGCTAGAGGATCACAGAGAGCCTAAAGTGTGTTATCCTGTAGGGCAGGCAGACAGATGACGTAGGTGGGAGGAATGTAAATGGTATCTCTGACCCTTCTGGGTATATGGTGGCTACCATGGTGTCCAAACATAGCAATCAATCTTAATAAAATAAAACCCATTTGGGGGCTTCTCTTTCTTCTGATAGGCTTACTAGAAAACTCAAGAAAATGTCCAGGTGAGTACTCACCCAAAAGCCTCATTCTCTCTTTCAATTTCACAGCTGCTCTTGGTCACCCCCAATCCATCTCCAAATACCCAGAAGACAGAATTAGACAATGCTTTGCCTTGCTTCAACATCAAAGGATGGCTCCAAGTTCTCAACCCTGCCCCGAGGGTGCCAGTGGCAGCAGACACAGTGGAGGTAGTCCACTACATTGTGGGTGAAGAGTGAGCGCAATGGATGCAAGTACTGGAAAAAAAGGAGCATGAACCCAATGGAAACTAGGTAAGCAATAATGAGCTGCAGGGCAATCAAGGAATGACAGTAATTCAGTAACACTTTCACTCCAAAGAACTTAAAAACCAAGACCATGATCACATTCTCTACCAATCTCACACTATAGTGCAGGCCCATATGTCCCCAGTTCTGACCTTTTTCAACAAGGTCCCTGTCTGCCAACTTCAGCTGCAAAGCTGACCAGCAAGAGAAATTGATGCCAGCATAAAGGACGGTAACAGAAATCAGCACCACCAGGGTGCCAACTCGGCTGAAATTTTTCTCAATATTATTGGGCATCTGGGCACCACTCCTCCAGAATTTAACCCAGGGCTCAAAGAGGATGATCAGAAAGTTGAGCAATAAAAAAGGCACAGCCTTCAGTTTCAAGGTGGCTGAGAAGAGCACCAGAATGAGGAGGCGGGAAGTAATCTCCAACGTCCGCCAGATGGTGATGCAGAGGACTTCTAGTGGCCCAAGGCGAATCTTGTATTCATCGTACTTGATCTGGATAGCCAACATATTGCAGAGGGTAGCCCCATACGTGACAGATATCAGGGAAAAGACCATTAGCACAACTGTAAGAAGAAAAAAAAAAAACAAGAAACAAAAAACAGGCATTCAATGTTGGCGAAGCTTGTATTCTGACCCAGAGGTCTAGAGAGATGATAGGTGAGAATTGAGGGCCCCAAATAAGAGCAAACTCATATATGAACACAGCTATATAAACAAATAGCATGCACAAAAATGGAAAGAAATAAACTATTTTTTTCATGACAGGGATTATATCAGTTTTTAAAATCTTTAATTTCTCAATTTTCTAAATGCTCCATGATGAATATATACTGTAATACTTTAATAATCATATAAACATACACAATGAACTGTTAAAAAATGAGGGGGTCTCAAAACTAGCATTTAGAGGTCACTTACACAAGAAGATCACATACAAAGAGATAGGACAGCATCTACCTGATGAAACAGGCTTCTAAGCAAACAATGAAAGAGGCAAAAAGAACTCTTATCTGAAAAAATTCCAGTCTTAGGAGGTTCACAGAGAATGCCTTTGGATATAGAAGTCCCTTCCTTGATATATATCTTCTTCAAGGAACTAATCTTGTTTGTGTGTGCTTCTAGAATGTGTCAAAATAGATACAGGAAATTCCATAAGGGCAGAAGGGACTATGTCTATTTTGTTTACTGCTGTATCCCCAGAGTCTAACACACTGCACAGAATATAATAAGTGCTCAATAAATGTTTGTGGAATTAATGAATAATTCTGAGTTTAGAGAGGCAGCACAAAATATCTATGATTAGAAGTCCTTGGTTTAGTTGTGTGGAAGCTTGTGACACTCGCTATCTATGCACCTCAGTTTCCCCAGTTCACTGAGATACTCTAGAGTTGCTTGTATTAATCATCAGCAATGGCAATTCATCATCCCAACACTTTGGTATACTTTAGGAATCACCAAACTTCCTGCAGAGTGGTTTAAAAATATAAAAACTCATTTTCCTAGCCCATAACCACTATATTAACAGTTAGAGTAGGGGCCCTGAAGGGTCAGGATGCTCCCTAACCTCCTATACCAAGTCTCAACTGTAGATCACACCATGGCCTTTTTCTTTTCTTCCTTTATATCAAAGGATACCGATCACTAAGAAAAAATCTAGTGCTCTCAAGGAGAATGAGAAGTCTGAGGGATACTCATCTAAAAAAAAGAAAAACCACTGGAACTTACTGCATCCAGAGAACTAAAGCCATGGAGATATCAATTTAATCTTCAAGAAAAGTGAAGGCCTCCCCATGGAAATCCAAAAGGAAGCACAGCTTTGTTTATTAGATCTTTTTCAGCTCAAAGAGTATTGGAATCTCAAAGACTGGAGTGGGAGACTCTTAAAGTGTCTACTCTTAGTCTTATTTTTATTTATTTATTTTTCCAGTTTTGAGATGTAATTGACATATGGCATTGTATTAGTTTAAGGTGTGCAACATAATGATTTGATATACTTTTAGTTTTATAAACCACTCTCAGTCCCATCCTTAAGAGTTGATGTTTCTTGTAGGGTTGGGAACATCAGAGCTTACATACATCTATCCAAGTGTGGTAATGCTTTCTCTTACATTAGAACTCATTTATTGATAGTAGTGTAATAAAAAGAGGAAAGCCTGATGATTCCAATAAATGTAAAAACACCTTCCGTCTCCCTACAAATAGACTCATGCCATAAGAGATCATAATGCTGCTAGTGAATTTGCTCATCTATGCTGATCCACATGGCCTCTAAGAGAAAAAAAAAGATTAGAAAAGGGATAGCAAGGAGAAGATAGGAGGAAAACTAAACCAAAAAGTTGTTTACAAAACCTTAAAAGAGACGGTATTGTCAGAAAGTTTTTAATAGGAGAAATCACTGAAGAATTGAAAACAAGGCCTTAAAGAAAGTTTCCTTTATATCCTTTGCATAGTAATATGGTTAGAAATGCAGGCTCTAAAGGCAGATATCCTGGATTCCAACCCAATCTTGCTACCTATTACTTACGAAACTTTGGAAAACTTGCTTAGCCTCTCAGTGTTCTGTTTCTTCATTTGTAAAATAGGAATAATAATCATTATCTCATAGGGTTGTTGTGAAGATTAAATGAAAAATTTAAATGTAAAGGGCTTAGGGAAATGCCTGGATAGTAAATGGTATCTGCTAGCTCCTATCATCATCACCATCATTTTTATCACCCTCTATTTCCAAAAGTGTAGTAGGTGCATTTACTTTACTTAGGCACTACTCTGACATTTTGGAAATCAGGTGATTTAAAAACTGATAAACACCTAGAAATAAGCCTTACAAAAACGTCCAAGTCCTTTAGCAAGAATAGTTTAGTTGTCTTGCTCCAGATCTTGTACACTCATGACATAGATTATGGTGAGTTTTCATGGAGGTACACTTATCTCCAAACTCATCAAGTTATATACATTAAATAGATAGAGGCTTTTGTTTGTCAATCACACCTCAATAAAGTGCTTTAAAAGTATTTAATGAAATTGAGAGATGTATTATCTTCCAATATGAAATTGCTTGATCCTGTAAAGATGTAAATTCCCTCCAAAATAATTTAATGCAATCCCGATCACAGTCTCAAAGAAATGTCATTACTCTTGTTGTTATTATTTTTTGCTTTGTTCTGTTTTTTGGTTGGTGAATTGACAAATTGGAAATTCATCTATTTGGAAGATCAGGCTAAATTTGCTCTATCAGATATGAGCTGTGAAAGGCCTTTGTTTCAAAAAAAGTTCAAGTTCTAAAAGCAATAAAGCATTTGAATACATAAAAATTTAATACTTCAGAATGCCAGAAGATACTACAAGTATACTGTGTATCTTCACATTGTATGCTGCACATCTGTTACATGTATGACATGTATATGCACATTTAAAATGTGTATGTGCACACACAAAACATTATAAAAATGTACATATACATACTTATCCACAGCAGAGTTAATAGCCAGAATAAGTAAATAATTCCTAAAAATTAATAAAAAAGATAAACCCACTAAAAAAGTGAATAATACATATGAATAAGCAATTTAAAGAACACAATAACCAAACATGAAAAGATGCTAAGTTTACTTCATAATAACAAAAGCAAATTATTAAAACAATCAGTTATTTTATAATTATACAGACTAACAATACTTAGTTTATGAAGAAACAGGCACATTCATAAACTGTTGAATATAAATTCATACAACTTTTAGGGAGGGCCATTTGGCAGTACTGATAAAATTCTAAATAGGCATATCCTTTCTCTCAGCAATTCTACTGCTCAGAATTTATCCTACAGTCTCATTCCAGTACACAGATGTTTACTGGAGCATAGTCTATAATTAGAAAAAACTTTTTGCATGGAAAAATTAAAAACAATCTTTAATCCTACAATAAAAAATTAGGGAGATAAGAAATAATGGTCCAATTCATATAAAGGAAATAGATATTATATATCATTATTATTATATATGTATAAATAATTGTTGAAGAAAGATATATAGCATACTTTTGAAAAACACATGTTGCTGAACAGATTGTTTAATAGAGTCCTTTTTTTGGCAAAAATATATATATACATATATATAGTATATATGTTTATATTTACACATAGTAAAAGAAATCTGAAAGGCTATATACTGAATGATTCACAGAGATTACCTTTGAGGAGTAAGATTACATTTCTTACTTTATACACACACACACACTCTCTCTCTCTCTCTCTCTCTCTCTCTCTCTCTCTCTCTTTTCTATATGGTTTTGAATTTTTATCATAACTGTATCTGATTTTTATAATTAAAAAATTAGAGCCAAATATAATAAAACGTGATCATGATAAGAATTTCAAACCACACAGAAGAGTATAAAGTAAAAGGTAAAAGTCGGATGATTCATTTTCACTCCCCAGTGGTACACTGTTTCTTGCATACATTTCCAGAAATTTTCTGTACATATACAATTATGTGTAAGCCAATTGGTTTGTTTATGTATTATATTTGTAATATATACATATTTTAATTAAATAGTTTGATGACCCTCAAATTTCTCAGGAGGAAAAGCATCATCATTTCCAGAGATTTTTCTCTTCACGCTATTTTCCACTCTAGGTATGTGAAAAGCTTCAAGACAACTTCATGAACAATTCTTTGTGGAGAAAAATAGAAAAGCAGGCAAATTTCTTCACATTTATTTGTGACAAGGGGGTTTCCCAAGCAGGGTAAGCACCCGATAAAGAGGAAATGGTCCAAAACTGTACCCACAGCTGTACAAGCTCCAGCCCAAGCAGATGAAGCTAACTTCAGGCTGTTAAAACTCATTAATAGTACTTTATTTCGACTTTGAAAACACTGACTCACATTTCATCCTCTTCTCGAGGTCTTAGTCATTTTATGATATCTCTTTTATAAGCGGGAAATTAAGACAGTGACCTCTTTGGTAACTTCTTCCAAAGATCAGAGAGATGGTCAGAACTAGGACCAGGCCTGATTTTAATCAGTATTCATTCCACACTCCTATTCTGTCTTCCCACTGGAGTTGGGAGAAGTGGTTAAATCACTGGTTACCAAATGTGGCTGACCAGAATTGACTGGGTACATTAAAAAATACAGATTCTTGGCATCCCCACATTCAGATTGATTCAGGTCTGAGTAGGAAATGTAATTTTAAAAAGGAGCTTTCATCCGGTAATATGTTTTCTCATGATTGGTAATATTTGGGAACCTCTTATTTGAAGATGGTCATCCCTACCAACCAACCAAACAAACCTTCAGAATAATTTAAATACTCTGGGCTAGGAAAAAATGTCCTACTAACTGCTGGTATTACTAGCTTTTTCTGGGACCAGACAGAGTTTATATGTGGCATTTTTAGTCTAAATAGCTTACCCCAGTTTAAGAAATCTGTCAGGTCTGAGATCTGGATCCCCAAGTTCTTTGACTATGTACCAGTGCTGTCCAGAACTTTCTGCAGTAATGAAAATGTTCTGTTATATCTGTGCTGTTCAATATGTGACCACTAGCCAATGTAGCTATTGAACACTTGAAATGTAGCTAGTATGATTGAGGAAATAAATTTTTAATTTCATTTTTCTTTTTAATGTAAATAGCCACATGAAGCTGGTGGCCAGTGTATTGGACAGCTCAAATCTAGATTTCTAAAACCCTTAAGTGGAGCCCTCCCCAATCCTGATCCCACTCACCTCTACCCAGGGGGACCTCCGCAGAGATCAGGGTCACATAGAGCTGATAGGTCAGCTGGGGCACTGAGCCCAAGAAGGCTTGGATCTGTGACATACGTTTGTAGGCATTGCGGTGCATAGCCAGGGTCCGGATGGAATGGCCCACCTCCCATTCTATCAGCACCTCCTCGCCATTTATTAGCATCTTCTTTCGGGTGAGGCTGACATAGGGCTCCTCCTGCCCTTCTTTCTTCCACAATGTTAGGTACTTAATCATGGCCTCCAAACATCTGCAGAAGTAAAGCATCATGGGAACTTAACTAAAGCTGTCCTAGGAAGGGAGGTTGTAGTGAGGGGGGAAAATAACTTGGGGAGGTGGTGCTTTTTGCCATTCCTTCTCTCCTGTTCTACTCATTTCTCATGAGTCAAAGAGATGCTCATGCCTTCTACAAGTTACTTGAATGTAAATCTTTTTTTTTTTCTGTCAGTCATCGACCAACCTAAGAACACCATTTCAGAAGTGTTTATTTGAAGACTTAAAGAATTGTTTTGTCCCTTTAAGAATAGGCCTGTGGTAGAAAAGTGCCTTGAACACAAAGGTATGGAGTAAATAATATGTCGAGAGAAAATAATGAGGATCCAAAAGGCCCTGGTTTTCATAACACTTCAGATCCTGAAGTAAAACATTCCTTAGTGAAAGCACTTAGCTCCATAATCAGGGTTTTTGAGTTCTGAGTTTTCAAGACAAAGCCTGCAACTGTGACTGCCTCAGCCAAAAAGTCTTGGGAAAAAAAAAAACCCTCATATACGAGGAAAAGCCACTTAGCAACAAAGGTGTTTAAAAGATTTGACAGCTCAGAACCAAATATACTATATACCTAGAGGACCTCAAAAGATCTCTCTAAAGGTTGCTTTCATGGTCTCTTGATCTGTTTGGAGACAAGAGCCTTTTAAACTCTGTTCATTATTTACAAACAGGAAAACATCCTTATGAGAATCTACCACTCATGAAATCATGATAAGACCACATTTCCTGCTGTACCCCTCCCATCTCCCTCATATAAATCAGAAGTGTTTAGCAGTTCTGATATGATAAATAGTAGAAACTAGAACATCTTGTTTTGGAACACCTGAGTTACCACTTCCTCCATTCACCCTGAAATGAATAGAAACTGTAGACTATTTCTTATGATAAGTAAGAACAGTTGTGGTGAAAATTAAGCCATCTTTCCTGATAGACTGAGGGCATGGGTTATATTTATCTTGCCTACAGTCGTTATCATATAGTGGGTATTTGATCAATATTTGCTGAGTAAATGAAAGAATGAGAAGGAAGCATACAGGGTGAGAAATGATGGGAGGAGATGGTAATAAAAATGGCAGTGTAATTTAACAGAAAAATACACATAAGACAAGCTCAGAGATTTACATGCTCTTTAGGCCTTTGGCGCCTGAGAGGAACACATGCTGGCTGCCATTCTCCGCAGGATGTCTTTGAGACTGGTGTATGTGTGCCAGTCTGAAGCGTATAGTTTGAAACATCCACTTTCTAGGGGCAAACTTGAAAACCCAGGAGAGAAAAAGATGAAAGGAGAGAACATAAAAGAGAAAAACAACATTCTCTTCCTATTCGGGGAAAATGCATAATAACCCAAGCCCATTAAGGTTACTGCTGAATAAAATATTGGTGGAAATGGTGGCATGAAGCATTGTTTATGCTTCTATTCTTAAGGCTATTTACTGGTTTAAGTAAGGGTGTTTGCCTTTTTTAAAAGCTTCAGTAAATTAGAGTATATTGTAATTCCCAGAAGTATCTTTGCATTTCGTATAAGGAAGCCAGGCCCTCTAAACACTTTCATGTGCCTAATAGCGCTAATCAAGTTCCTACCTAGCTAAAATGTAATTTGCCTTGAAAATAAGCATATCGAGGATATAATTCATGAGCTATTAATTATTTTTCCCTGCTGTGGGGCTAGCTGATTGAAGTTATATGTGCTTTCTGATCATTTCTAGGGGAAGCTAAATGACAAAAATGAAATACAGTACTCAACACTCCATACGGAGGGCCCAAATCAAAAATGGCTTGAGAAGCCACAAAGCAAACAGGGAAGTCAAAACTGGGTGCTGGGGAGGTACTTGCTGAAATTTGCATCTTGAAAGTACATGATCTATTCATTCAATATATTATTGCATTTGAAAAGGGAAAGAATGGTTTCCATGCTCCTCTAAGTGCCATCTCTAAATTTCTTAATTCCAAGTTCAAGATGAGGTCTTCCTTTTACAGCTTCAAAGATTTAGAACTGGAAAGGACCTTTTTAAGATTACCTAGACCAAAGGTTGCACATAGGCCAGCTGAGTCACATCTGATCAACAGCTGTGGTTTGTTTGGCCCTTACCATGTTTTTATTTAAGTAGTCAGTTGCCAAATTTTTAAATCGTGACAGTTCATATAAAATCCTGTCTTGGGAGATTCTCCTGGAAAGTTGGGTGATCTGGTAATACTGAGTTTGAATTACAGCAGAGAAATAATGGGCGGGAGCTATAGAGTGGCTGCCTCCTTTAGGCAGATCATGTGGACTCCAGATTGCCAGAGTCTTCACTACTCATCATCATTTCTCTAACATTGAGACTTTATTTTCATTTCTCATCACACATGAAGCTCCTGTTTTTCCTCATACTCGGCCCACTTAGCTCATTTATAATACCTGCTTAGCCTCTGTAAGCATTTGAGATCCATGATCTAACACAGCCAACCCATTTATTTTACAGGTGAAAGAACTGCAGCCCAAGGCACCTTCAGAGATTTCACTAAGGCCATACAACTAGTCAATGGCAGGAGCAGGACTAGATTCCAGGCCTCCCGAATTCCGGGCCACCGTTTCTATTGATATCCTATATTTTTCTCTGATGGAGTCTAATCAGTTCCTCCCCATTTAAACATATATTGATTTTTAAAAAATTAAAGGGAGAGTCCCATCTTAATCAGTTTCAGACTGTGTTTATTTCTATAAGGATGAAATATCCTCCCATTGCAATTACGACATCGACACTCTGACCTATATTCCTCAGCTAACTGCAGGTTTCTGTCGCTCTTGCAATCAAGACAAACTTGGTCCATTCCTTTCTCATGATCTCACAAGTTTTGCAATATCTCCCTACCTGGAAAATCCCACAGTGTCTAGATGAGACTGCTGACACAGATGCCTATCTCCCTGGGATAAGGCACATTCTTGTCACTTCAAGGCAACCTGAATGGAAAGGCTTGATAATATTACATTGTGCTATAGCATCCAGATGAACAAATGGAGTATATTCCTTTGCCCCCTTCTAACCATGTACTTTTACTGCAGAAAGATAAAAAGAGGTAAACAGGAGATTGTTGAACTGACAGAAAAATGAACTGCAATGGGTTGGGGTCCCAGATAACCACAGATGACTTAAAATATTTTCCAGATGTTAAATTACTTTGGAACTTAAAAATGGCAGTGGCACCACCCCAAGCAGCTCAGGGTAAAGAAACTGAATAGGAGATGGGTAGAAGAAAATTTCAGCCAATTTACAGAGCATCTAAAAGGCTGTCAAAATAACACACTCTTAAGCTATGGTCTGTGTGCACAAGGTGACCACGTCAACTGGTCCCATACCAATTTTCACAACCCAAATCCAGATAGCAAACATTGTCTAATGAAGTCATATCAATGGTACCATATATAGTTTTGAAACATAGGTACGTGCCAGGTGTTCATCATGGTGGCTTTTAAAATTTTAAATTTTTTGGATGGTAGGCAGGAAAGCCAAGAGTGGGAGGGAATGGGAGAATCAGTTAGAGGCACAGTATCAGTCTTGTAAATATTGGCTTCATCTTTCTCTGCACAAGTGTGGCAGGGGTAGGAGGGTAGAGAAGGGAAGAGATTAAAAAGTTGCTCACCTGATAACAGGTCCCAAGAGGATTAGATGCATAAACAATGATAGTGGCTTATCTTTGGCTAGATCTCTGTGGACAAAAATGAGTGTCAACTGGACCATAATGGATGAAAACATAAAGAAGGAAAAGGTGTATGTCATCCAGTAGGTTTCACTATTCTTTCGATAGACTCTAACCATGTACAAGGCAGATGCAGCCTCCCCACAGTACAAAAAGGTGGAGAAAAGGATGCCAAACGGAAAGGTAAATCGGGGGTTGGCCCCACGGATGACATCTTCCTCCAGGGATGAAATCGGATCCGCGTTTGGTTCCTCTGGAATTTCATAAACTCGGTCCATTGTTGAGTCGATGTTTGGTCTTGGTTTGGTCTTCAGAGTACCTCCCACCCCCACATCCCAAGAGAACCCTGTAGCCACTGCAGTCCAAGTACTGGTGAGGAGAGCTGTCAAGTCCAATTCCAGATGGGAGATCTAGTAGTTAGAGCTGGAGGCTCCTCTCTTCTACTCTCAAATTAGACTTGTTGGAGTGTGGGATGGAGATCCCAGAAGTACCACTTTGAATGCGACTCTTGATTGGCCCAGGATTCCAATTGTCAATATACGTGCTGTGAAAATTGGACAAGGCAAAAGCAAGGATTTTTGTTCCCAGCCCGGTGTCCAATTCCAGGCACCTGAGGGGCCATGGGAACAGTTGTTTTCGTGGCGGCTCCTCTTTTCGCAGCCCCCTAGGCCGAGGTGGGCGGAGGGTAGCCACTCTGTTGGGACACCGACACTCAGCAGCTCCTCTTGAAGAGTCCTGACCAGTATGCCCTCTCAAATCAGCCCAGAACTGCGCCAGGCCAGAAGAGGGGGCGCAGCCTGAGTGTCCCTTCGGGAATTCAGTTCAGTAGCTAAGTCCTGTAGCTATTGTTAGGCTCTGGCTATTAGCTTGCCTGCTCTCCTGCTCGCCGACTCCCCCGGCGCTCTGTCAGGACCTGCACTGAATCGAGTGTTCACAGGATGGCTCCAAGGAATCCCCAAGCTCCGCCCCCAAGGCTGCCGCGGCGGGAGGCAGGAGCAAAGCCGAAATCCTGTCTCCCAGCGCAGTCTCAGGGGAGAGAAGCAAAGCGCGCGCGCGCGCACTACAGGATTAAGAGGAAGCTAGAGGGGCTTCTTTACCACGGAGAAACTTTTCTAGCGAGAAGCACGACATGGGGGCCGCCAACCTAGCTGAGCAGATGTCGGCAAACTTGGGTGCCATCTGCTGCCGGCGTCCAGCCTGGCCTGCATTTCACCAATTGGGGAGGGGGGGCGGGGAGTGAGGGGACAGCTGGGACCAAACAAAACCAGACTTCGAGTTCCAGGGTGGGATGCTCAGTGAGGGGCTTGGGCCAATCTTCAGAAGCACTTCTCAGCACGACTCCCGGACTCTGGTTGAGCCACAGCTTTCCTTTTCTCCAAAAGCAGCAGACGCCCGCTTCTACCCCGCCTTCCATAACTGACTAGCTCTTACAGTCGCTCAACCCACGCGGTTAGGCAGGTATGTCTCTCTGGGCCTCAGGGTTGAACCTCCCTAGGTCCTATTGCCCTCTAGATAATATCACGATGGGGTCGGGGGAAGACCTGGGAGGCGACTGGGCCACAGTTTCCATTCCAGGTCAGACAATATGCATCAGAGAGAAAATAGAAAAGGATGGGGGTGGAGGAGTGGTCAAAACTCAAAGTCAGCCGGCAGACACTGAAAACTCATATTATGCCTTGATTTCTCCACTTGCAAAATTAGACCAGGATAGGAACTTTGCAATGAACTTTCAGGTCTTTGGCTGGGAGATGGCGAAGAAGTACCAAATTCTAAATAGACTCGAGAAGAGCCAAGAGAGCTATTAGTAAAAACTGAGAGGGATGTCTTAAAGAGCTCTGAAAATTGCCTAGATTCTTAAGAGAAATACTCCCCTACCTCACGAAGCTTTTTTCGCACCCTCATTTGCATAACTCTAAACCCCAGAGAAAAAGAGAAAACATCTGCCTCCTGGTAGTAATATAAATGTAGCAGAGCCTGTGCCAATATCCTTTTGCTGCAGGAGGTTATCGCAGTAAATCTATGTGAGGAGTGTCCAAGTAGCAGCCACCAAAATGGTGGCCTTGAGAAATACTTAGTCTTGTTGAACTGGCTTTTAAGATCTCTGCAATTGCTGCCTCCTTGCCTCAGGCCTGACTTAAGGACTTAACAACTTCTAAAATTTGTTGCCTTTAAAGCAGTTGCCCCATCTTGGTCTGCACCTGTGCTACCAGCTGGGCTAGAAGACTTATTCTTCCTCCTTTCTGTTTCACAAGGCAGGTCAACACTATCTGAGAACACCTCACACATACTGTTGATTGGTTGGGGCTTTCCTACTGGCATAAGGTTCTCCACCAGATTATATGTTGCAGAACTTCTTGGGACTTCTTAGGAATCTATACTCAACATGGAGCTCAAGTAAGGTGACAAGCTCAGTTTGCTGAGATGGAATGAGTTGGTAATCCTAAACTAACACTGGAGACTGAAGCCAGGAAGAATGTAGAATTCCAATGTTTTTATTTTAGCCTTTCCTCCTCCATCCCTGTACCCGTGTCACTCCTCAAATACACAAATCTACAAGGCTTTCCTACTTTGTTCCAAAACAACTCCTCTGTCTGCTATTCAAGATTCTCTATAATCAACACAATAGTGCTTCCCTCTCCAACTTTATTGCCCACATTACCCTACACACACCTTTTGCTCCAGTCCAGCAGGTTTCTCACTTAATCATACATGCTTTGCTCACTCCTACCTCTGTGCCTTGTTGAAGCCATTTACAGCCCCCTTCTCTCTTTTCTCTAAAGTTCAAACCTTAACCTTCTTTCAAGGGTCAGCTCAAGTATAGACATACCTCATTTTTTTGCGCCTCACTTTATTGTGCTTCACAGATGTTGTTTTTTACTAATTGAAGGCAAGACCTTCCACCAGCAAAAAGATTACAATTCCTTTTATTGTGGTGGTCTGGAACTAAACCCACAATATCCCCAAGGTATGTCTGTACTACCTCTACCAGGAAGCCTTCTCTTACCTCCCCAGCCCTCACTTTTCCCTGTCTTTGTGCTACTGGCATATGCTCTCTTGTACTAGTCTTTCAACAATTTTTAGCCCTGCCTCCCAAACAGAAGCGTAGACCCAGAGAGTGATGCTCAATTAATGTTTATTGTAGTTCTTGTTGATGACAATAGTGATTGACAAATGGTGATGGTAGCGAAGCTTCTTCCTCTATACTTCTAGGAAACCATGCAAGACTCAGGCACACTCATCTCTAAAAGCTGTAGCCACTGTAGCTGGGGCATAAAGTCCCTTCAGATACCCACTGCCTCAGTTAAACATTCAGCTCACACATGATGCCAGTGCACATGATTTGTCCCTTCTCAGAGTTCCTACAGTGTATTTTTGTCAGTAGCACAGTTCAGCACCAAATAACAAATTATTTCAAGTGTATTAATTTTTACTCCACAACTAAATTACCATATGATCCTTGAAGGCAGAGTCCCTGCTGTTACCCTTTTTCTGGATCCTGCCCCCCACCATGGCTGGTATGTACCCATAAATCTCTTGACATCTGATCCTCCTCACCCACCAGCTTCTCTATTTTCAGTCCCAGGACTCTCTGGCGCTTTAGGTTACTAAATCCTCTGGTCTCTTATTTCCTTGTTCCTTTTGCCCTGCTGGGAGAAACTGATAATTTGCCCTGCTTCTG